TGGCAGCTGAAAGAATGCGGCAAACAGCAGCGTTCTGTGGCACGCAGGGCCTCAGTCAATCATTCCCCTGTCCACCCCCCCCCAGTGTATATGATGTATGTGATGAACGGTTTGTAATGAAACTGAAATCTTTATTAAAGACAGTGATTAATTGATTGATTGATTGATTATAAGAGTGAACTATCTCAATGTCTGTTCCCTGGATGATCACTGGGGTCAGTTTGGTGGATTTGCTTCTGCGTAAGTCCACCAATAGCTCCTTGGTTTTCCCTGCATTAATGGAGGTGGTTTTATTGGCACCAGTCTACAAAGTCCTTGGTTTAATGTCTGTACTCTGTGTTGTCCCCACCTGTGATGAAGCCAACTATGGCAGAAGTTTTTAGCCCTGGTGCCGTATAGTTTAATGCCGATTATTGTGCTGTTTAATTTATCTCTGATTCTGTTTCTTTTTAGGTTAAATTCATCCACGATCAAACATCAGCCAACCCAAAGTATAGAGGATTTTTTCATGGGGTCAGAGAGATCATAAGATCTGAAGGTGAGGATGGTTTTGTTTATATTATACTGCCCCCTACTGGTTCACTGCCTCTATATATGCAATGCTTCTGGCTCAAGTAGTCAATTAGCAGCTCAGCTTCTTTTCTGGGACTCTTAAATGTAATTTAACACATAATGTCCCTATTTTACTTAGTAAATAAAGAAATGATTAATTGTTTTTGTCTGATGCTTGTTTAGGACTGAAGGGGACCTATCAGGGTCTGACTGCCACTGTCCTCAAACAGGGCTCCAATCAGGCCATCCGCTTCTACGTCATGACCTCACTGAGGAACTGGTACAAAGGTAGGAAAACAAACTCTGTAATGGAATTAATTTAATAATGCAGCTCTATTAAGAGGTTTTTTGTTCTATTTTAAGGTGATGATGCCAACAAAACCATAAACCCCTTGATAACCGGGCTGTTTGGAGCTATTGCTGGTGCCGCCAGCGTCTTTGGAAACACTCCGCTGGATGTGATTAAGACCAGGATGCAGGTTAGCTGCATGAAATTTCTGTTCCTTCTCCGTCAAGTCAGCCAGGAGCTTTTAGTGACCTCTGCTTTTTATCCACAGGGACTTGAAGCCCACAAGTACAAGAGCACACTGGACTGCGCCATAAAGATCATGAAGCATGAAGGCCCTAAGGCGTAAGTACATGTCGATAGGGTTCACCCCTATAACCGTTGAAAAACGTTTTCCGCTTCAAATATTTGGGGAGATGTCTCTACCAGCTTTAACATTCCAGAGCGAAGGTTAAACAGGGGGTGCGTGAGCCATATGGGGTCCATGGAGGTACTGTATGGGGGTCGCGAAAGTTTTGTTTGATTAGACCTTTTTTTTTTTTTTTATATTCCCCCCTGCAATTATTTTCCACTAATTGAAATGTCTTTAAATCCACATTAACATGAATTCAACACACTGTAGTAAACAGATAAACGGAGGCAGAAGATGTCTTTCAGTCATCAATGCTCACATTCAGCGACACACAGGAGCTCTTTCAAGCTGGGCACCGTTTCATTCACAACACCTGTCCCATCAACCAGGAATCAGATTCAGAAATACTTTAATAATCTCAGGGAGAAATTACTTTCATTACATTACTCCATCTATAATAGAGTAACTAAAGGACCAGTTTGATATGAAACAATTTCATACAATATATATATATATATATATATATATATAATTAGGGGATTCCGCTTCATCTCGCTATCAGTTTTGAGGTCCTTGGCCTGGAAAACATTGAAGACCCTTGATCTTGAGACAGAAATTTCTCAAGCTCAGTCATGTGGCATAGAGAAGGAATGTGATCATTAATAGTCCAATAATCGAATAATTCAATTCAATTCAGTTTATTTCTATGGCGCCAATTTACAACATGTAATCTCAAGGCACTTTACAGTTCACCAGACCATCCAGTTAGATTGATTCAAAGTTTTCTATCTAAGGAAAACCAGCTGATTGCATCGACTCATTGACTTAAAGGCAATCCCTCACACTAAGCATGCTTTTAGCGACAGTGGAGAGGAAAATCTCCCTTTTAACAGGAAGAAATCTATAGCAGAACCAGGCTAATTGTGAGCTGCCATCTACCGAACAATTAATCCGATAAATCACCATTAATCGGATTAATTGTTTCAGCCCTAGTGTTTTCCACACCTCTTCCTGCAATTTGTGCACCTTTCAACACTAAACAAGGTTTAAATTGAAGCTCCTAGCTGTCTTGTCAGTCTGAATCATGTCTTCAAGTAACATCGTCCTCTCTGCACAACCAGGTTCTACAAAGGCACCATTCCTCGTATGGGTCGGGTGTGTTTGGATGTCGCCATAGTCTTCATCATCTATGAGGAAGTCGTGAAGGTCTTGAACGTAGTGTGGAAGACGGACTAAGCCGGACGCCCCCGGTGCTACACTACCTGCAGTGTTTGGACAGCTACTAAATCCTGTCGTCTTAAATCCTGGTTTCTAATGTCTACCTCCAAGTATCTTCAGACGGAAAAAAAAGAAAAAAAAGAAAACTGGTTTGTTTAATACTTGTGTAATGTACAGTGCAGCAGCAGTGCTAGCATTACCTGCTTAAAGGTTGTTAAAGTTGCGGAGCTGTCGCTCACAGTGGCTCTTTTTTCTTTTTCCCCCCATTAAATCTTCCTTCATAGCTCAGGGAAAAGAAACGGAGCGTTTTGTGAGATCTGCTCCTCTGTCAGCTCAGACTAATGCTGTATGCACTAAAAACAAACCCCTTTACAATGTGATTTAAACACTAGATGAAAAAAAAGTATACTTGAAAAACAAAGATTTTAAAGCCCTTATTTTTAGATGTAATTAACAGAAATTGTATTAATTTGGTAACAAATGCAATAAATAATATTCAGATCTACTATGCTGCTGAGAGAGAAATAAATTAATAACTAAATGCCTTAATTCTAGAAAGCTAATAGATATATAGATTTTGTTAGCTGTAATATAATTAGATTGTTGTATGAAAACTTTAAATGCACACATCCTTTAAGGATGAGTTTAAGTAGGGAGGGAGGGTTTCCCTTTCATTTGCAAAGATCTTCTATTCTCATGTATCGATGCCCTGCTAAGTGCCTGTTTTCTATGATTCACTTTGAGCTAAAGGAGGAGAGGAAAGACTAATCCGTCACTACAAATGTACTCTGTTTAAAACGCTGCTGTTAATCCCCCCGCAGTGCCTATAGTAGTCATAAACCAATGGTAGCTTCTCACCTCATCTGTATCCATGTCTCTTTATGCTCCTTTTGGCTTTGGAATTGTAAACTTCTCTTTTAAAGTGTTTCAGATGGACAGATGGTGCCTTTCAGCTCATTTCATTCTAGCTTTTAATTCCAGATATTTAATTCCTGACCATTTAAAGTTGATTGCCTTTACTTTTTTACACCAACCTAATGTGCCAACTACGAGTTCTATGTTTTAAACGTAGAGCTTGCAGCCTGTGAGACTGGCTTGTTTACATGCAGTGTTAATACTTCTGTGGCTTATTGCAGTCTCTCTGTTCAGCACACTATGTTTAATGTGAATAATATTTATCTTTCATATTGATCTTTTAACTCTGAACCTTCGTCACAACTGTTTAAATGGATGTGAAGTTATCAGATTAACAATGAAAATGTTCACAGGCCATAGGAGCTCGTATTGTGCCTCAGTCTCATTAGTTCCCCATGCATGTACACAAATAAACATCAGTCAGATTTACTGTGTTTTTGTCCTGTTCTTGTTCATACTGATGATGGGTTTTTTATTGCATATATATATAGATGTTTTTTATGATTTTCAATTCACCGAAAGACTCTTCCATATTGAATATTAAGAGTGAATATTGGTAAAAAGTAACTGATCTGTTTTTATCTACATTTCAATAGAAAATAGGATGTAAAAAACGATGTATAACTTTTTTTTCAATAATCAAATCCAAACGTCCATTAGCATTTCAACAATCAGTGTTTACTGGTACATAAAATAGCTTTTACTCCCTCTACAAATCATGTATCTGTTGAGAGTTTGAAATCAAGCATTTCTCCAAAATATTAATTACACTTCATTTCAAACGTTGTAAAATGTTGGTTTTGTTGAATGGAGTATTACTTTTAAAAGTAGATCTGACAGAAATATGAATTTAGCTGTTAGATGTACCTCCTCTTCTTCAAGTAATGTTTTATGGTGATTGGCAAACTGGTTAAAGTGCATTACCGCCACCAACTGATAAGGAGTGAAATGAGGAAACAGGAAACAACTCACCCCCAGAAAAAAAAAAAACATAATAATAGTTTTCCGTACTGTATGTTTTAACCCAACATAATGAAATATATAATCCAATTCGTCCTCATAATTACTAATCTGTCTTCATGCTTATGTCACTGCCGGTTTCTGATGGTCCTACTTGTTTTCCCATCATACTTTCAACAGTTTCCCAGTTTAAATCTTTCACTCCAAGGTATTTTTCTGCAGCTTTCACTGTTATTAAGGTTTTGTGGTTTTTTTTTTTAAGTCGTCTGAGGATTACAATTGATTACCCCACCATAAAAATGACAAAATCCTTTTTTTTTTCTTTTTTTCTTTTACTTTTTATTATTTTTCAATTTTGCATAAAACACACAAAAAAGAAAGTGAAAAGAGAAGGGCAACAAAAGTAGGTATACCAGAGTCCATGTTTAGGGGATGTGGGGGTCGCACAGTTCTTATATAGATTTGTCTGGCGTTCCAGTCTTATTGAGGGGAAGTTCTTTCTGATTTTTGTAATCAAGCCACTTGATCCTTAGATAGTAGGTCATTTTCTCCATTGTGAAGATTTCCTCTACTATTGATATCCATTGTGTCAGGTGTGGAGGGTCACTTTTTAACCATTTTCTGGTAATCGCCTTTTTAGATGCCACTATCAAGATTTTGAGGAGATGGATGTCTTTCCTGTGTATCTCTTATCACTCCAGCCAGCCCAAGTACACAATATGTGGGTCTTTGGGTATCTTATATCCTATTATTTCTTATAAAGCCTGAACAACTTCATCCCAGTAGGTTTGTATTTTTGTACATTGCCAAAATATGAGTGACTGGCATTCATCCGTCCATATTGCCGCCAACATTGTTGCTGAATATATAGTAATTTATTTTGTAATTGAGGTGTTATAAAGTAGCATACAAATTTTTCCAGCCAAATTCCCTCCAGCCTCTAGAGGTTGTGGAGGACTGTTGTGTTTTGCACATTGAAAGCCAGTCACTCTTTGACAGTTTCACTTTTACGGTAACTCTGCTTCACATTTGGACTGTGGGTTTGGGTCTTTTTTTTTTTTAAGATTTGTTTTATTAACAGAAGCTTTTACAAGATATTTATGGTGTATAGCAAGCATTTAGACTTAGATTTTGTCATTTTGTTTATTATAATATCATTTAAGATATTATATATATTATAATTTACAGTTATAATGAAAATTGTACTTTATAAAATAAACTTACTGATATATAGTCTTCCAGATACACCATACAAGTGTCAGGATTAGGTTGTGATGTAAGGACCCAAATGCAGAGGCAGGGAGGCAGAGGTGAGTTTCTTGGTGATTTAATGAAGAGTAAACAAACAACTGAGGCAGGAATCCAAAAATCAAAACATGAAAACAAAGTCAAACAAACCCGAAACCATGAAGACATCAGGGGGGGGAAACTATCACGAGGAGGAAGACTCAGAGAGACGGAGTTAGAGGAAGTTGGACAAGGAACCAGCCCTGAGGAACTGAACAGAGAGTGTATTTATGGGAGACTGCAACAAGGAGGAGAGAACTAACGAGGAGATTGGGAGCAGGTGTAAACAGAGCAGAACAGGAAAGGAGCTAGGGAAAAAGGAGAACACAAGAGGGCAGCAGAGGGCAACAAATAAAAACCTGAAAACTGAAAATAACCAGAAAACACAACAAAATAAGAATTAAACCACTGAAACCAGAAAACATGGAACAAAGTAAAACTGAGGACTCAAAAGAAAACATAACAGAACCAAAACTGTGACAACAGGGAAGAGGAATTTTTATTTTTAACACCAAAAAATAACAGCTAAACAAAATATAACAAACTTTTCCCCTCCCACCCTCTTTTCTCGTATGGTTCTCAATATCCTTTCATTTCTGTACACAACACATCCATCTGAGCAAAATATTATCTGTATAATTCAACACACCACTTCTATCAAGGTACCGTACATAAGTGAGGAGGTCATATAAGAAGAACCTGCAAAGGGCTAATTTGAAGCCGGTCCAGAAAGGCTCACACCACCATCAACAGCTGGGTCCAGAGAGGGCAGAATGTCTATGAAGTGGCCCCAGATTTTTTCAAAGATTGCATGTTTTCCTCTAGCATTATATAGTATCTTTTCAGGTGTGCAGTAAGACACAAGCTCATTGATCCAGTGTCTTACTGACAGGGAATTTTCAGATTTCCAGTTAACCAGGACGCATTTCCTCACTGCAGCACTTGCAAGTAATATAAGGTACTTCTTGTAGTAATTTATATTAATAGGGCCCGTGTCCATGAGAATCCATAGTTTTGGGTCTTGTTCAATTTGCATTCCTATTACCTTTGAAGTTACAGCAATGACACATTTCCAAAGTTCCTTTGTCATTGGGCAACTCCATAGCATGTGGATAAAATCCCCATCAGTCACCTGATGGGGATTTTACTGTCAATTCTATGTAGCCTTTAAGGAGTGTAATATGTCCTATGAAATAAACTGAATTTGTCTGCGTTTTGTGCAGGTTAGTCTTTTTTCCCCATTTCCCTTTAATAACTGTTTTATTAATCTTAAATGGGTAACTTTCCATTGATGATACCATATATAGAAGATATTATTCCTTTTGTTTATCTGCATGATTTATTACATAGGTGGCCTTCAAGAGTTTCTTTTGGGATGTCTGGGGATGTTTCTTTTGAATTCTCTTTAACCCAGTCTCTGATTCCTAAAAATATAAAGAAACTATATTTGTTGAGCTTAAATTCTTCACTTAACTGAGGAAAATTACAAGTTATATCATTAATGTATGAAACAGCAACTGTTTGGATTCCTCTATCTCTCCACTCCCGCAACGCTGAGTCAGCAATGTGATGTGAGAGGCTGGGATTACCCCACAAAGGTGCTCTTCAAAGAAAGGAAAGATTTGTGCCAAGAAGTGAATGTATTCAGTATTATTTGGTTGTTTGTTAATGCGGCTAAAAATTTCTTCGTACCCAAGATTGGAACATTCTTTAAAGGTATAGGTTTCATCTCATGTTGTTCCATTGGGACCCATCTTACCTCATATCCATATTGATCGGTACTGAGAGGCTAGATAATAATTCCTAAAGTTCCGTAGGTTAAGTCCCTCCTTTGAATAGGGAGAGGAGTTTGACTCTAGTGTTTTAGTAGTTATACTTTTCTTAAGTTCTTTGAAGAAGTTCTTAGGAACATTTATTGGAAGACACTGAAATAGATATAAAAAGTTTGGTAAAATATTCATTTTAATAGTGTTAATTCTGCCTATAAGAGACTTTGGGAGCTCCATCCATCTTTGAAAGTTAAGTTTGGTTCGTTCCAATAATTTGATATAGTTTTGTTTGAATATATGCTAATCTGCTTTGCCAAATTGTATACGCAAATATTTGAAACCTGTGTTGCACCCTTTTAATGGATCAGTGAGAGCTCTAATATATTCTTTTAAACATTTCAATATAGGGGGGATTTATACATATGGATCAACTATATATAAAAGGAGATCATCTGCATACAGAGAAAGCTTATGTTCACTTGTACCAAATTGAATTCCTGCTATGGAAGTGTTGGAGCAAATAACAATGGCTAATTGCTCAATTGCAAGTGCAAAGAGCAGGGGGAGCTTGGACAGCCTTGTCTGCAGCCTCTGGTTAGTAAGAAAGTGTTGGACAGAATATAATTTGTTAAAATTTGGGGGCATTAAGAAGTGTTTTAATGCCCATAGCCTTTAGAGTCTGACACAAAAAGCTTGGTTCAACCTGTCAAATGCTTTGTTTGCATCCATGGACATTATTAGCATAGGAGTTTGATTTTTTATTTTTTATAGCAGAGTTCAGTATGTGGAGCAATCGGGGCACATTATCTGCTCCGTGCCTGTTTGGTCAGTGTTTATTATTTTTGGTATAACATCTTCCAGTCTAAGGGCAATTAGTTTGGATAATATCTTGTAATCTGCATTTAATAGGCTGAGGGGTCTGTATGAGTCACACTTCTGTTTGTCTTTACCTGGTATTGGAAGCAGTGTGATTGTTGCAATTTTCAATGAGTCTGGTCATTTCTAATTTTCTAGAGCTTCTTTAATCATATTGGTGAAGAGAAATAAAATAAAATAGCTTTTTTGAAAAGGCCTTATAATACTCAACAGGGAAGCCATCTGGCCCTGAAGTCTTTTTATTTTGTAAAGACTTAATGGCTTGGAGCACCTCGGTTTCTGATATTTCTATATTAAGCAGCTCTCTATCTTCATCTTGTAAATTAGGAAGGGTTATTCCATCCATAAACCTATTTGCTCTAATATTATCCATGTCCCGTCCTGTTTTATATAAGTCTTCGTAAAACTGCAGAGCCCCTGCGCGGGGAGCGTGATCACGCACAGAGACAGATTTGACGGTTGCAGAGTCTATGCGTCAGAAGCAAAAATTGGCCTTTAGCCAATCAGTGGTCACCCCTGTGGCCACCAATACCATTTTTCCCTAAAGCTGGTGGTAGCAATAACACTCAAGGGGAATATTCAAAAACATTAAATTTTTTCTTTTATTAACAATTACTTTACAGCTGAAACACTGTGGTTTATTATGCACATCGATATACCAACATTGAAGATGATAAGTACAGAATTCATGCTCTTTTCAGAACTAGATTTTGTGTTATATGTGGTAAAGAGAAAATGATGTCTCTGCAAGATATTAGTCCATGTAAATATTAATTTTATGCAGAACAATTTTTGATAATAGTAGGTAAGTTATGACAATGGAAAAGATGTTTGACCCAGAAGCTTTGTCCCTTAAACCTTTTATTTAGACAGAATGGAGGTTTAAAATATGCGTCTATTTGTTAACAAAGGCTTTAGGAAAGTATAGTTAGTCATATTTAGAAAATATGGATGTTGTGCTTGTTCCAGTTTAGATTGACCCTGAGGTTCTGGCACCTATCTGTTTTTCGGCCACCCCTCAGTGTACATTGGTTTTTGACTCGCCACCCCTATTAAAGTTTTCTGGCTACGCCTCTGATCTTTGGCTCTGTTCGAATTCATGGGCTGCGTCCTCCAAAGGCCAGATTCGATGGCCGATTACGTCATAGCACGGCGCCGAGGTCTGGTCGGATTCCAAGACTGCTCGTTATGCGTCCTTTTTGCCCGATTTGAAGGATGGGTCCGATGTATCCTATCCTTGGATATCCCAGGATTCATTGCGAGACCAAGTACGCCAGCTGCTTCCTGATCAGAGGAAATGGTACTTAGCGCCAAACAGTGGTGAATATTGGAAGATCAGTTTAATATAATCCAGTCTGTGAATAGTTCCATCTGAAATGAATGAAAATAGCTGTTTTAATGGTTATTGAGTCAGATATGTGGCGGTAATGTTTGATTTATCTAAAGGTTTTTATCTGTTACAGTGTAAATGGGTTTGGCTGTAATTTAAGGACAGATTCTAATATATCTGCACTGATGGGACTATAAATCTGATCTGCTTTTTATTTTTTAATTGCTATTTTGCACAATTTGCTTAACTATTTGTTGTTGACTATAAAAGATTTTGCAGATATTTTTTTTTTCATACATTGTTTAGATTTACTTATATCTTTCTACCCTTCTTTTATAGAATAGAGTACAAAAATCTCTTTATTGTCCCACAATGGGGAAATTTACAGCAGCAAAAAGATTATTGAAAAATGTGATCACACAAATGTGTAATGATAACATAACAGTGTAGAGTTAAAATATAAGCAATAAAATACTGTAAAGTGAAGTGTTTTAACTATATAAAACTGTCCACATGGAGAATAATATAATATCCAGCTATGGACATTTTTACAGTGATGGATATTTGAAAATAGAAAAATCAGAGATGTGCAAAATGACAGCAGCATGTTATTTAACTGACTAAGGTTTATATATATAGGTTTATACATTTGCTTTTTTTTTGTTCATGCATCCAGTGGTTGGCATCTTTATTCCACTCTGTATTCTCATGAGCGGGGTCTTTGTTCACTTTACAATAAAAGAAAAAAGAAACGGTTTAGAAAGCTTTCATTCTTTTCCTGCTTTGTTTGTCAGCGGTTGCTAAGCGACAGAGCATATTGTAGTAAAAGCCGAAGGTTGGACCTGTTTTAATCCACAGCCAAAACTCTTCCGGTCTCCTTATTTTTAAGGACTTCAAAGGATAAAGTTCAGTTAGACCGCATCCTCGGAAGATGCAGCCCATAAATTTGAACACAGCCGTAGTCAGTGAAGCTGAGTGCTCCCACTTCTCTTCCTTCATGGTGCCCATCTACATTAAGATCTAAAATTCTGAGATTAAAGTCAGAATCATTGGCGTAACTATCGGTAAGCAGAGACTGCAGCTGCTTAGGGGCCCCGTCACTGACTCCTGAGTGGTCCCCTACGCAATAGGCTAAGACGTAGTCTTGCAGATGTAATGGTGCGATAAAATCCTCTTAAACCCACCTACTTTAACTCACCAGACCTTATTTATACCGCAACACATGGCAGATTCACCATGATGGTGAGCCGTGTAAACAGGACACCAACAGCAAAGCAGACAGTGGCACCTTTAATTACTATGTTAATAACTGTGTATAGTTCATTAGACGGTTGGTAAAACATACACTCATATAATATGTTTCAAACCGCAATAAAGATCTTAAAAGAACCATGTATTTCAGTATTTTATTTTTTACACTACAACTTGGAATTATGGGTAATCCAGAGCATAGATTAAAACCATAACCGTTACGTACAATGTGTTAGCGACGACGGATACCAAAAAGAGTTACTTAAGCGGACAGGATGTTGTACTTAATATGGGGCCCTTCCAGATAATGTTTGTTATTGTTGTGTCATTACGCCATTGGTCAGAATTCTGACTATTTTTCCCATATTAAACTAAAATAATATTTAAATATCAGATAACATTTTTTATTCATTCAGTGGCCCTAATCCTCTTCCGTAGGTTGTTGCCTAGCAACCCTTATAAAAATGTTCTGGTGCCTCTGGAGGATTACACATTTTCACATAGTAGCTCATATATCCAATGAAAACTTTACTTAGCTGATAAATGCAATAGAACTGCTCAGGTTTATATATAAAGTGACAAACTAAACACAGGGTGTACTGTTTAATGGAAAAAAAGAAGCAAATGTACAGAGCATCTTTGGCGCAGCAGAAACAGGCCCAGTCTGCTCTGCTTGTGACCTTGCTTCGCCTTATTTGGACCTCTCGCCCACCGTAGCTCCAGCTGGGCTGTGTGTTTTGGTCGGATGACGGGAAGAGGATGTTTGTCTCTGTATAGTGGAGTCCGGGGCAGCCGTTCAACATGTCTCTGGATGGAGGAGGATGCAGAGGCTTCTACTTTAACACCGTCCTTTCTCTGGCTCGGTCCCTGGCGGCTCACCAGCACGCGCCTTTAGACAAGGTAACGGTCCAGCTAGCTGAGCTAGCGGCACACTGCGACACTGACGTCCTGAACTTCTCTCTTCCATCTGTCGGATGGGTTTTTACTAATATTTCCGTTCGGGATTCACTTCATGTTCCTCTGTTAGCTTGTATTGTATCGATAACATTTAAATATTAACGTCGCTTGGCGGTAGGTAACCGCTAGCTGTTTTTAGCTCCTAGTTAATCTGTTATGCTTCTCTCAGATGGAGCGCCTCAGTCTGATCTGTTTATCTTTCTTTCTTCTAAATCTGAATATCCCGTTTAATTATCTGAATGTTTTGGTAACCTTCCAGATATTCTAAGCAACTTTCTAAAGTTTTAGGATTTGAGGAGCACTAAAGACCAACTGAGGGGTGAAACTGGACCTATAAACTCCTAAGTTTGAGGACATCTTACAGGATAATAATGTAAAGTTTATCTGATTGTAATGTTAGTGACTACATCAATATGTGTTAATACTCAGGAAGAAAACAGATTTAGTTCCCTATCCTCAGCAAAGCAAAGGGAAGAACCTTCAACTGTAGCTTAACTTGGGGGTTCATTGGCTCATTTCTTTGGTTAGTGGATTTCATGATACACTAATTAAATCATATTTTATTTATCCATTCCACATTGTGTTTTTTATACTGTTTCTTTTTTCTCTTTGGTTAAAAAAGGCAGATGTGTTGGTTAAAGAAGAAAAGGTCAGAGAATGGGGAAGTTTAAAACAGGAAGTGCATAATGGGATGAATGAACTGTTTTACCGACACCACTTTATTATTTCGAAGGGTTTTAGTTTGAGGAACTAATCTACTTCTCCAATGCTTCAATTTTTCTCTTAGGGTTTTTGATTTTTGTAGCATTATTTTACTAGTTATGAAGGTTCAACTACAGGAAGAACCAGGATACCGTACTTTAACTAATATGCAATTACCTTCCACTGCTCTTTAATTTAGATAACTTCTGTCCAAACTTTATTTATTCATTTTATAGTAAAGGCCATCTGTATATTATGCTGTTGTACATAAGTGTAAAAACCCTTTTTATAGTAATATCCACCTGTATATTATATTGGGTACATATCCAGCTGTAAATTTAGTTCATAGCACTAGTTATCTATATATTATATTCATAGGACAGATCTATTAGTAAAATTCTGTTTATAATGGTGTTCATCTCTATATTTATTCAGTAGAAACCCATGTCCTGTATTTATGGAACCATTATTTATCCTGCACTTGCTGCTATTGCACTTCTGGTTAGAACTAAACTGCATTTTGTTGCCTTGTACCTGTACCTGTGTAATGACAATAAAGTTGAATCTAATCTAATCTAATAAAACTGGTAACTTTCAATGTATTTTTGGTTAGTCTATAATATTTATTTAAACAATTCAGATAAGCTCTCAGTCAGTTTTCATGTCAAAGGGATGAAAGAGAGAAAATACAGTTGATCACAGTAAAGACTGAGCCCTTAGCTATGTCTAGGAGAGAAACGGGATAAACACTGAAAAATAACCCCAACTTTATAATCTATGATCGGAGGTGCTGATGGCAGCAGCACGGCTGATTCATCTCTCCAGGATGGTGTCACAGCCAAACAGGAACAGACCAGATGAAGCTGCTATGATAAGAAAAGCAGAGAGCATAATATTTAATTAGCAAATAATCCAGAATAAGGGAATGGAGAGCAGAATAATGAAAAGTCATCCCCATATCCTCCAGCGATCTAAGCCTATAATAGCAATATAGAGGTAATCCCGTATAAACTGAGCTACTCTGAATATAAACTTTGTAAAAATAAACGTGTTAAGCCTAGTCTTAAAAGTAGAACCAGTGTCAGCCTCTCAGACTAAGATCAAAACAATCAAAATTCCTTTTTTTTTTAGATTATTGTTTGCACTGCAAGGAAATCAGGTTTCTGATTTAAATGTAGTTAGAGCGCAGCTAAACATAAGCATATGAATATAGTGGGCTCTGCTACTTTGAACAATGTTGCACAATGAGCTAGCTTATCACTTAGCAGTATACATCTGAAACCTTTATGAACAGGATGTTCCAAAAGGTTATCAAACTAATTTATCTCTGTCCTAGTCTGATGTATTAAAATTAAAAGATTTCTAAACCTTTTAGGTAGTGAAGGTACCGACCCCCACAGTTCATAAAGCCTCATGTGAACAACATGTCACCACCTACTGGTGGAGTGCATAACTACAGTTTCTATTGAAATCCGTGATTTTTTTGATTTTTCTTTGCAATTGTTTTTCTCTTTTTTTTCCATTTTAAGTTCCTTTGAAATTTTTAATGATTGGTGTGTATAATATAATATTTTGTAGGTTTTTTTTTTTTAAGTGTAAAATGTCTTAAAAGAGAGCAATCATTTAAGGTGCACTGTTTTATTGCCATTTTATTGAAATAAACTCAAGCAGACAGTGAAGCTGTTTGGCAATGATGAGAAAAATGAAAGGTGTTTGTAATTTTTATTCAAACATAATAGTTTTTGCACACTTTTTGGTTTTAATCGGGTTGGATTTGGCTAAACCAGCCAATTTTATTTGGAAGTGTTTTTACCTAATCTATATTTTTACAATACAAATTAGTCTCATTACCCAAAATACTTAAGTATAATCGCAACTTTCAAAAGTGGGTCTTGAACCATCAACCTCAGGAGTCAAACAGATGACGCCACAAACATTGTATAGTAGTAGTATAGTATGTAACATTAAAGTTACAGCTGTGTCCAGTGTCTTGCTCAGATTTTGATCGTTACATTGTTTAATCTGACCAAAATAGTTTTAACCAATTAGATCTGTTGTTTTTCCAACCAATCTATTCTTAGAATCTATCCAAACTCTATCCAACTGACAGCACCTCTCCTACAAACTCCCACATCTTGCCTGTTGAAGTTCTTGCTCTTTCTGAACCACTTCCCCTAGTGGTCACATGGTATCACGGTAGCGAGGCTTCGGACGTCATCAATTTTGGCCCCTCCCCTAAATGAATCACGCCTTGATACGCGATTCGAGGAAACGCTCATAACAACACTAAAATGGGTTATTTTATTTATAAAAAAATAAAATAAAAAAAAATCTGTTAGAACTGTTAATATACAAATTGTCTAGAGCTGTTCTGAAGAAAATGTATTTTTGTTTTCACTCTTGTATACAAAATGACAAATCTGTCTGTACTATACTACTTTTAGGGGTTGGAGGCCCAGAAATACATAATAACTGAAATTTATTGATCTCACATTGGAGAAATGTGTCTCTGCATTTAACCCATCCCCTTGGGGAGCAGTGGGCTGCTATTGTGCGGCGCCCGGGGAGCAGTGTGGGGTTAAGGGTCTTGCTCAGGGACCCAGAGTTGCGGTCTGTGGGAGTGGGCCTTGAACTCAGAACTTTAGGATTCCAAGCTCTATGCCCTAACCAATAGGCCACCTCTCCCTGTTTTTTAAAATATATAAAATATATTAGGGGTGGAACGATAGAAAAAACTCACGGTTCGGTACGTAGCTCGGTATGGACCCTACAGTTAGGTACGTTTTCGTTACAGTGCAGAAACAAAAACCTGACCAAAAGGCTATCCTCAAAGGCAATAGATATCTGAATCCTGCCTGTTCTACTGTGGATTATGGCTGCACAGCAGATGCGATATAAATTCCAATTGCTTCTGTAATTTCTTTTGCTCTGCATGTATTCGTTAGCCTGACGTAGTCCTACTCAATTCTAGTCAGAATATGAGTCTGATACTGCTCCATAGAGCTGTGATTATGGGGCGTGTTTTGAACGAACCAGGAAAAAAAATGCCTCTGCACTCAATTGGATAGATCTACAACCAATAAGAGCAACGGAGTGCGTGACGTATGTTAAGCGACGCATAGTTGTCAACAAAAATCAAAGCGTGCAGTTGCACGCCTAGAATAAGAAAATGAGCCTTGATTGCGTTTCTGTTTCCCTTTTAAAATTAATTTGCTGTCGATATCTTCTAGAACAGACCTAATAGCAGAATCTACTCACCTAAACTCTCCAGCGGCAGCCATTATTGTTGTCACCCAAGCGCGCTTTGGTCACGTGGTTGATTACGTTACTGTTTGTCATCTGTCCATCATCGTATAAAGCCCGCCCTGACAATTTGATTGGCCTGCCAGATATTGTGCTAGCATACTCGCGCTACTGTTGAGCAATGCCAGACCGAACTTCCCGACCTCAAACGTTGTGGGCGGGACTAAGTTCGGAATGGCACCCAGGCTATGTATTCGTATCAAGGGGTTGTTGTAATACATTTGGGAGATGTAATTGGACCCTTTTCTTCCGTCTCGTGTCGGTGATGGGGATATCTGGGTGGTGTCGTTTGATATGTGTCAACATATTTGTAGTGTTCCCACTCACGTAATGAACAGGTGTCGAACAATGACGACATACCGCCTTTGTTCTGCTCTTCATCGCTATTATACCTTACAGGGAACCCGAGGTTATCCCACACCACTGACTTGAATGATGATGGTTGGTCTTCTAATTCTTCGCCACTCGCCATTGTTAGCACTCGCTCACAACAACAAAACCCAACAGCGTTTCCTTCCCACAGAGTTCAGTTTGTATTTTAAGGTGGCGTTTACTATCTAGACCAATTCAGGCATGTCTAGGACTTTTTCCCAATTCACAAGAACGCGAGTATGGACTTGTTTCCTTGCCAAGTATGTTCTTGAGAAGAAAAATTGGTAAATAGACCATAATGTTGATGATTTAAAATATAATGTTTTCGCCTCAAATGATCTTAAAACGTACTTTTATTGAACAAAATCAACAGAAAAGAGAACTTTTAACTTAATACTCCAGCCCTCCATTGAAAGCTGCTGCTGCCGCAGTGCATGCTGGGACAGCTGCCAATCTTAAGAACGGACAAGTCTGCTCTGATGCATGCTGGGTAAAGAGGGAGGGGCGACAACAACATCCAGGGACATTGATCTGTTCTCGGTCTGCTGTTCTTGTGAATTGGACAGTAGTAGGGCTGAGGGTGATGACGTTTCACAAGCACATGAGAACATGAGAATGCACTAGTACACATATTGAGAAACGGCCTCTATGACTACAGACCAATCAGAGCTTGCAGGTGTGTATTCTGCATGGCAATGTGCGTGCCGAACCAAGACCCCATACCGTGTGTATGTATATATATATGTATATATATTTATATATGTGTGTGTATATATAGTATATATATATATATATATATATATATATATTAGTGCTGTCAATCGATAAAAATTTTTTAATCGCGATTAATCGCATCAATGCCT